CAGAATATTAACTTCCATGCTTCAGTTTCCCAATCCGTAAAATGAGGATAATAATAGTACCTACCTCATAGGGTTGTTGTGAGGACTGAATGAGTTCATACAACTAAAGCCTTCCGATTAGTGCCTGACATATAACACTAACATATTACATGTTGACTATTTTTACCTAACCATCTTCTTAGTATTTCTGTCTTCACTGGAAGGGGAATTGGATAAAGATGGGAGCTCCGGAAACTGCCGAGTTTTTACCTCCTAACAGTAAACTTGCACTTTCTTAATTTTTCTACCTACAACTATTTTATCTACTAACACTATCTTGCTCATCATTATGTCATTAGTACCTAGAAGATGGCCCAACAAATAGCAGGCACTTTAGGAATGTTTAATGAGTGAGTGAATTCTTTCTGATTATATTCTCTGACGTTGGCTACCACTGTCCTGGGTCTGTCATGCTTTGCCTTGGCCTCACAGGATTGGTTTGAGATGAAATGTCCTCTTCTTAATTCAGGGCTCTTACCACAGGGATGTCCAATCCTGTGCTTGTGAAGCCCATAAACTGCACCTTAACCAGAACATTCATGTCTGCAGTTCTTCTGTGCCTCATCATCAAATCCTTTCCCTCTAAGCAAGGTCTGACCGGAAGGTAGAGTCCCCATCTATGCAGAGTCATGACAGCATGATCACTTTTAAGCCCTAAAACAGCATTCAGGATATAACTGTCAAATCATTTCAGTTATTTTCTCTTGATAGGAAAGGGGCCTGAATGATGCCTCTTCTCTCCACTTCTCCTTTTAGTATTGGCCATGTTTCATTTGTTGTAATAGGTGTTGTCATTTAGCTGCTTCCACTTCCTGAGTTTTAACTAAGTGTTATCTTTATTGACGTCCCGGACACTATTTTACCACTACTCTTGTGATACTTTGAGTGAGTGACTTACACACCTGGAGCTTGGTTTTCTTTTCTATAAATTGAGAAGACTTGGCCTTGTAATCTCCTTGGTCTAATTCTAGAGCTAAGGTTTTATGGGCAAAAACTAAATAGATAAATTATGTATTTTCACCTTTTTCTTTCCCTTTCTCTAATTAACTCTATGGAAATTTGTGGGAGAGTAGAAGGTGAAGTTAATTTCTTCCCCCTTATCTCCTAGGAAGTCCTGTGCTCAGAGAGGATTTGAAAATTCACCTCCTCAGGGGAGACTGGCAGTCTGTACCAGCCAGGATATAAATCATCAGCCTCCTCCTTCTCCTAATTTAGGAATTAATATTAATTTCTTAGTGCTTTCTCCTGGCAAGTGACCCCTGAATATTGTCCAGTGCCATGTGCATAACAGCCATGGTAATTTTTCAAAAAGTAAAACTCTTTTGTCCTCCCACATCTCACATGCTACTCACATCTCTCTTGTTCAGTTGCTCCAGCCAACCTTTTTTCTTTCAGTTTCTAGAAAGCACTTAGTCTTTCCTGCCTCAGAGCCTTTGCACACCTTTCCCTCTGCCTGAATAATTCTCTCCTGTGCATCTTCTCCAACCACCTCCATCTTTCTTTAGCTTCTAAAATAACTGGTTCCTTTTCATTTTTCAGATCTTAATTTAAATATCATTCTTCAAAAGAGCCCTCCCTGACCAATTGAAAGTCCGTCATTCCTATAAATCCCTCTCACAGTGTCTCGTGCCTTACAAACTCAGCCTTCATTGTAACTTGTAAACTTTAATTTTTGCTTCTTTTCTTATCTAGCATCTGCCTCCACCATGAAACTGTATGCTCTGTGAGGACAGAGACCATGTATTATTTATTTCCAGTGCGTATCCATGCCCAGAACACAATACCTACTCAATAAGTGTTTTCTGAATAAATGAAAGTACTATTAGTGCCTCTTTGACATAGTAACTGTATTTACTGTCGATTTCTTAGATTTCCTGTGCTTCATCAGCTAGAGAGATGAAATCCATTACCAGGATGAAAAGAACATTTTATGGGGTAAGTATTCCGAATCCTTGCTTTTGAATACTGTATTTTTTTTAAATTGACAAGATTTCTGCTTTTATATCTCTACTTTATCTGCAGATTGGAAACAGAGGAATCTACAAAGCCATCAATGAATTGGATATTCTTCTTTCCTGGATTAAACAATTCCTGGAAAATATTAAGTAATGCAAGAAATCAAGTGCATTGATTTGATTTTTTGAAATATAATGAAAACCACCAGCAATACATTTAAAACAGTATATTTCTTTTTTAAATTTTGTACATAGTACTGACAGCAGGATTCAGAATGGACTGGAGCAAGCATGTCAAAGTTGTGGCTCACAACAGATATTCATTAATGATTACTCATTTATTTCAGCCCTTTGTATTCAGCATGTCTCAATTGAAATAAACCTATGTTTCTATGAAAATTGAAGCTGTTTTTTTTTTTTTTGCGGCCCACATAAACTTAAACCTTGTTTGTTTGGCTAGTGTTAGCCTTTGAGTTTGACATGCTTAGACTAGAGAAATTTAACAAAAACAAAGTTTTGTAGTACTTTCATTCTGAACATGTTTAGTTACCCCCAAACACATTGAATACATTTAATTGAAAGGTGTATAACCAAAATTAACTAATGTAATATTTGTGGAGGGGAAATGACAGATTTCTAGGAAATACTAGAATGTTATTGGGACTGAAATAAATGCCTTATATGATTATTGTCCACTTAAGGGTTTCATGATTCCTAATTATGCTCAGTGTGAACTTAGTTCCTAACAGATTTTGAATTTAATTAAATAAAACTGTTTCTTTCTCCTAAATGTCCTTTTTATGACAGCATGCTAGAATTTCATTGAGTACAATAGGTAACAACCAGATCAGATAAAAAAACAAAAAAACACCCAAGTCAGCTACTTACTTGGAATAGTTTACTAGCTGCCTTTGACAGACAACCTATGCTACAAAGACCACAAATGCTGCCAGAGTTTGATAATGCTCTGTATAATTCAGAAAGTTGATAGAGGCCAAATAAAAGTCTAAATACAGCTTAGATGCCACCACAGCAAATTTCTCATACTGTCTAAATACCATACTTGCATACCTAGACCTTTAGTTAAATGAATAATATGGACTGACCATTGTTTCACATTAAACAGACTCAGCTTCATAGCTACTGGCATACTAAGCATGGGCAGTTTCAGGCAGCACTTTGTGTGACAGCCAGGTCACACCCACAAAGCACTCATTGTGCCCCTGCTGCACACAGACAGCATTGCAACTTGGTGTTTTGTGACATAGTCTGGCTTCTGCAAGGCTTTTGTGGATTTTGTCCTTGGCACCTCTTCTCTTCATTGCTTCCCCACCTCCAGTTCTTCTTTTCAATCTTATGGTCATTATTCTATTCATGAGGGCCTACCCTCTCTTGGTTGATCTGAGATTCCAAAATTACCTCTTTGTCTCCACCCTTCTTCCTTCCTGCCTTCCCCATCAACACCCTGTGGTCTTATCTCTATCTGGGGCCTCATTATTAGGCAAATCCACAGGAAAGGAAAGGTGGTGAGCAGAGGTGATTGGTGAGGACTCTGCATCTCATGCTGTTGATGTAGGGGTTCCCAGTGTAGGCTCCCAGGCCATCAGCAATGGGGCAGCATTTGTTCCTCAGAAACGTTTGGAAGAAGGGATCAGGAATCTATCCTCTGGCTTTGCCATGGGCCTGAGAAGAGGTAGTACACCCACAGCCTCTCACTGCCCCACTTTTAGGGCACTCAGTGTTTCTGGGAACCGGCACCCCCACAGCCGAGGTTGTGCTGCACTTCCACAGAACCTGGTGTCTCCAGTCTTGTTACAAACCATTCATAAAGCTCCCTTGTTACTTAGGGACGCTAGACATCAGAGGGGCTCAGAATTATTTATTTGCTGGTCAGCAAATTTCAGGTCTTTAAGGGATAAAATTTCGCCTGTGTTTCCCAATATATTTGGGTGATTGAATTCAATATTGTTGTTTTTTTAATTTCCCCCCCACATTTTTAGGTTTTCCCAGAATAATCAATAGGCTGTTAAACTCAGTCAGAAGCACTATAGAAATTTAAAAAATCATCACCAAGTAAAACTCAATGTTCTGGTGTCTATTCACAATTAAACTTTTCCAAATGTCAAGGAAAAAAGCATAGTTTTAGCATGTTTGAGTGAAGACTGGTACATTGAAAAGGCAGCTGGGAAGAGATAAGCTGTCCTTGTGCATCGTGAGGAAAGTGTGTTTGGTGGGTCACTGTGTGCTCAGGGTGAAGCCTTCCTTCTGATTCATAGATCCCATTCCGGGCTTATGAGAACCAGAGATGGTCATATTTTTTGAAATGGGCGCATACCCTGAATGCCCATGAGATGTTCTAGAAACCTCAAATGATTTAACACTTTTAGGAAAAATTCCTTCTGGTAGATCCCTCCCCTCTGGCCCCGGGTCATACCTAGGAGACCGAATTTTCTATTAAAGTGTCTTATCTGTCAGCATATAGTTAGAACGAAAGGAGCTGAATCTGCTCTTACCACAGGGTAGAGGGTAAGTGGTCTGAATCCCAGTGAGTAGCCTGGAGTGGTAGAAAAAGCCCTCAGTGACGTCAAGGGACCTGGTTAGTCTCAACTTCCTTGAGGTCCTTGCTTACATCATCAAGAGGGTAACTCATACAAAATATGGATTTCCCTCTCAACTCATCATCCCTCATCACTTTTCTCTAAACCACTTCTCTCCCACTGGCATGCTTGTATTGACTTGTTTGTTTATTGACTGTCTCCACCATATCAGAATATAGGCTCTGTGTGGCAGGACTTTTGTCTGTTTTGTTTCAGGTAGGGTCCCCAGCACACAGAACAGGACCAATACACAGGACACTATGTAAGTATGTGGTGAGTGTATGAACCCATAAAATAATGGATTGAGCCCTGGCTGGCGTGGCTCAGTGGTTGAGTGTCCACCTGTGAACCAGGAGTTCATGGTTCAATTCCCGGTCAGGGCACATGCCCAGGTTGCAGGCTTGATCCCCAGTATAGGGAATGCAGGAAGCAGTCAATCAATGATTCTCATCATTGATGTTTCTATCTCTCCCTCCTCCTTCCTCTCTGAAATCAATAAAAATACTTTAAAAGGGAGAATGGATTGAGGCCTTAGCCCTGCTGCTCTTAGAATGTGTGGCCGATGTCAAGTTACTTTACCTCTGGGCTGGTCCTGGTTGAATTAGCTACCATAGGTGATCTACACAGAAGCCTGCACAATGAGGAAAGGTGGTCTTCTGTATTCCAGCTACACTGCCCTCGCATGGTCTCACACACTCTCCTCTTTTCCCACCACCTGCCTCCAACTCTATCCCTAAGACCTGTTTTGCCTGGATAACTTTTCCTAAACCTTTAAGATTTCATTCAAACATCCTGCTATTAATAGCTTCATACATGTTTTATTTCTTCACAGCACCTATCATAATTACCATTACTTTACTGGGTATATATTTAATGTCTGTCTCTTTCACTAGACTGTCCGTATCAGATTCACTGCAGTTCTGCCAAGACCCTTATAATTAGTAAGTGTCCAATAAGTATTTATTGAATGAATAAGTAAATAAAAAAGTAAGCTGAATTGGATAGCCTCCAAGGTTTCCTCCAGCATTGGCATTCTCTGTTGCTATAATTTCTCCTTGAGGAATGCAATCTAACAGTGCTTCCCAACTTGAGTCCTCTAAGAGCACCTATATCATTATTTGCATAACAAGAATTCAAATTGACACATTTTTCTTCCTTATCCCAAATAAAAGGTAACTGTAAATAACTACACAATTCTTAAAATATGTTACTAAACTCAAACAAATACATTCTTAACTAAAACGTGTGCATTTGTGTACCATGTAGAATCATCTTACAAACCCCAGGTGGAATGTATCTCAGACGTTGGGAAACGCTGCATTATAATGAATTTCCACTGCCTCATTCTGGTCCAACAGAGAAATAGTTGGAAATTAAAACTTGATCATTTTAACCTACCCACAGATACCAGTTTAGAAAAAGTCAAGCCATGATGTTTAGGTTTCAAACTGGTTTCAGAGCCCCTGTCATTGTTTCCAGAGACGGAGGTATGAAAGCACGCTCACCCAGTCAGTCATTCCACGGTGTGATGACGGTGGCTCTCGACAGAGGATGGTGGGATGGCAGTACAGCCCTCAGCCTTCCCCCATCAGCCCTCTGAGAGAGCAGTCTTTGCCCAGGTAGTGTGGTCAATGCAGCGCCCCAGGGAGGGAAGCTATAGGAGTCACTGTCTGTCCTGTTAGCAAGGCCGCTGGAGTGGTCAGATGTGCATGTATCAGTCGGAACAAAAAGTGAAAGCTCAGTCGGGCTGAACAGGAGTCGCAGAAAGCAGATGCAGAACTGCGCTGTGAATCACACGACTCACATAAGGCTTACTCTTATAAGAGTGGAGTCCTTCACTAGGACTGTGAGTTATTAACTAAAATGAAAACCAATCAATTCTATTGATTGCTTTTTATCTCTTAGTCTCAAACCAAAATACAAAGTTCCTTTTTGGTGATTCTTATAAAAGTCAGAATAGTGATTACTTTTGGGGAAAAGGAAAGGCTTGTGGATAGAAAGGGACTCCTGGAGGCTTCCAGAGTAGGTGTCCATTGTTTCTTGACCTGAATAATGGTTACACGTCTGTTTACCTTATATTATTAAGCTGTGCATTTGTTTTGTGGGGTTTCTGTTTTATATTTTACAATAAAACTCTGAAAACCCGAAGCAAAACCAAAACACAATTCTATAAACAGTTACTGAATACTTCAATCTACCGGTCATGGCTGACATACTAATCTACACTAATAAAAGGAAACATGCAAATTGGTGTCACTCCGCTATGCCCACCAGCCAATCAGGATGAGTATGCAAATTAACCCAACAAAGATGGCAGTTAATTTGCATATGCAGACACAGAGTGAAGACTGAAGGCTCTGGCCTGAGTGAAGACTGAAGACTGAAGACAACTGAAGACTGAAGACTGAAGAGGCTTGGCTTCTCTGCTGCGGTCGGAGTGAAGGCCTGGGTCCCGGGTGCAGGAGGAAAACTGATGCTGGCAGCCAGGGGAAGGAAGGCCTATTGCACAAAGAAATTCGTGCAATGGGCCTCTAGTCCTACATAATAAGAGAGGAATATGCTAATTAGCCGTTATGCTCTGAGGTGTAACGACTAAGTGC